ATCATAATTACATTAACACAATTGTCACTGGCAGAACTTAAGTAGTTGTATCCAGAGCTATAGTTGGTCTAAAGAGGCTTTCTGAGATTCAGGCAGGGATCATCCTTCTTGCACAGACTTCTGGGTATGGATTGGAGAGCAGAGAGGATGTGGTGTTCAGGGTCAGAAAGGTGAGGGAGGTGACTTGGCCTTCCTGAATGCAATTTACAACATCTTGCTGAGGTGCCTCAGAATACAGTTTCTTCAATGTTCTTTTTCCATTTATTCTCATTTGTCTTAGTTCAAGTCCTTCTCCTGCAGATTATCAAGCTTGTGATGGAAACTCCACCTTCCTAGCTTTGAGCCTACATACTGCCTAGACTTTGGGTGCTTCTGAAGTGGTATTTCTAAAATGCCTATCTATTTATATTCCTGTCACTACTTCACATCCCGCCTCAACTCCTCAGTATTGGATCTGACCATATTAATTCCTCCTCCCTTTCTTGAGCTTATTATTCTAGCCCTGCCAAGATGCAGTTCACAACCTGTTGTTTCAGAGTGATCTTTGTTGGATGCAATATCCCTTTTGCTGCAAATGTCCTTCACATTGTATATCAATTCTAGGGAACCCAGTTTCTCTTGGAGAGTGTTAACAGTAATTTCAACTCATGTTGTTGTGTATGTGCTATTGAGTCACCTCCAACTCTTAGTGATCCTATTTAAAACAACTCTGAAGCCTGCCCTATCCTGAGCCAGTGTCACTGACTATGATACACCTACCCTCATTGCCCCAGTTATCTTGTCAACCCATCTCATCCAGGGTCTTCCTCTCATGCACTGTATACTTCCACCCTTCTGAGCATGATGTCCTTCTCCAAGGTTTGATCTCTCCTGGCCATGTGCCCAAATTATGTGAGATGGAGCTTCAAAATCCTTGCCTCCAAGAAGAAACTTTGTTTTCCCTTCTCCCATACAGACCTATTTGTTTTCCTGGCAGTCCATTGTATATTCAGTACTCTTCCCCAGCACTACAACTTAAGGGCATCGATTTTGTCATCTTTACTCATTGTCCAGCTCTCTGATGCAGAGCATGTAATTGTGAAGACTATGGGCTGGGTCAGGTGCACCTCATTCTCCAGCCTAACATCATTGATTCTCAGCACTCCCTTATACAATGGAGTAGAACTGCCTCGTTTGGGTTTCTTTGAAGGCATCTTTATGGAAGCAGACTGACAAGTCTTTACTTTTGAAGCTGCTTGGTGGGTTTAAATCTCTAAATTTTCTGTTGCCATTAGAGTGCTTAACCATTGTGCCACCGGGGAAAAATCCAATATGTTCATCAGAACAATTGCTGTTGTGTTTGTGTACTGTCGAATCAGAACTAACCCATAGCTGACCCTCTGCAGGTTTTCAGAGGCAGTTAATCACAAGGGAGGAGACTGTCCATCCTTCTTCCTCAGAGCAAGTGGTGGCTTCAAACCATGTGCCTAGGCAATTGCAGCTTGGCTTCTTTCCACTAAGCCATCAGAGCTCACTAGTAGAAAATTTTCTGTATAAGTTTAGATGTGCTGTCGAGTAGCTTGCGACTCATAGTAACTCTTGCACTTCAGGTCCTCAGTTTCAGCAAGCAGGTTTGTGTCATGTGCATAACACAGGTTGTTGATGGATCTCTCACCAATCCTGATGCCACACTTCTCCTCGTAGAGCCCAGCCTCCCAGATAATCTGTTCTGCATATAGGTTGAAAAGGTCTGGAGATAGGACACATCCCTGGCATACATCCTTCCCAATTTTGAACCGTGCAGTGTTTCCTTGCTCTGTTCTGATGATTGCCTCTTATTCCATTATAGGTTTCGCATTAGCATGATCAAGTGTTCTTGGATTCCCATTCTTCTCAGAGTCAGCCACAGTTTGTTATAATCCACACAGTCAAATGCCTTTGCATAGTCAATGAAACACAGATAGACATTCCTCTGGTATTCCCTACTTCCAACTAAGATCCATCTAACATTAGCTATATCCTTGGTACCACGACCTCTTCTAAACCCAACCTGCACTTCTGGCCGTTCTCTGCTGATGTGCACTTGTTTTTGGGTAATCTTTACCAGAATCTTGCTTGCATATGATATCAATGATACTGCTGTATAATTTCCACATTTTTTGGGTCACCTTTCTTTGGGAACAAATATAGATCTCTTCCAGTCAGTTGGCCAAGTGGTTGTTCTCCAGATTTCTTGGCACAGCTTAGTGAGTACATCCAGGGAAGCACCTGTTAGTTGAAATACGTCTACATAGTAAATATACTTTTCACTTAGAAAACAGGGTTTGGTATTCCATTTTATCTAGTTCACCTTTCTGGTAGGTGTGCTAGTTAAAGTTGTCCATCACTTTGGCAGTCCACTATGTTATCATCTCTTTGATGAACTTTCATTACGATCTGTAAGCAGCCAGTCAGTCAGTTGAAGGGAACTTTTTTAGGGGTAAGGCCTGCATTGAATATGGACATTCTGGCAAAGGTGTATTTTGCTTGATCTGCATGAGTAAGGAGAAGACTCTAGTCTGACACATGGAATTGAGACTTTACAGTGTCTAACAAGCATTTCCTTGAGGTGAACAGTGTTCTTTTATATATATGTTGTTGTTATTGTTATGTGCCATTGAGCTGCCTGTGACTCATAGCAACCCTATGTACAGCAGCCAGTCTTATTGTCTCTGAACACCTACCCCATATCCCAATCACTGGATCAATCCAGCTTATCGAGGGTCTTCCTCTCGTGTGCTGTCCCTCCAGCTTCCCAAGCATGATATTCCTCTCCAAGGACTCATCCTTCCTTACAACATGTCCATAGTATGTTAGATGAAGCTTTAGAATCTTTGCCTCCAAGGAGCAACCTGGTTTAATCCTCTCCAGGACAAACTATTCTCTTCTGTCATCCTTAGTCCTTGTCCAGATTTCTGATGCATAGTAAGGGATTGCAAAGACCAAGGCCTGTATCAGGCATACCTTATTCCTCAGACTGACATCAGCGCTCTTCAGTACTTTGGAGAGGTCTCTAACAGCAGTCTTTCTCAATACAGTATGTCTTAGTTTCCTGGCTGCTGGTGCCAAGAGTGTTGATTGTGAAGCTAAGCAAACTAAAGCTGTGAACAATCTCAATCTCTTCACCATCAATCCTGATGCTGTCAATTGGTCCAGTGGTGAGAATCTTTGTTTTCTTGACATTGAGCCTCAATCCATATTGAAGGCTGCAGTCCTTGACCCTCTGTCGCAGGTGCTTCAGCTCCTCTTCAGTTTCAGCAAGCAGGGTTGTGTCATCTGCATAATGCAGATTGTTGATGAATCTTCCACCAATCCTGACACCACACTTCTCATACAGCTAAGCCTCCTGGATGATCTGTTCTGCATACAGGTTAAAAAGGTTTGGAGATAGAACAAGTCCTTGGCATACACCCTTCCCAATTTTGAACCATGCAGTGTTCCCTTGCTCTGTTCTGATGACTGCCTCTTGATCCAAGAATAGGTTTTGCCTAAGCATGACCAAGTGTTCTGGGATTCCCATTCTTCTCAGAGTTTAGCCACATAGTCAATGAAATACAAATAGACATTCCTATATCATTCACTCACACTTTTTATAACTGAGTCGGACCCAATTCATGGCTTTTCCCCAGTGGGTTTCTGAGGCTGTATATTGCATGGGATGAGATTGTTCATCTTTCTTCCATGGAGCTGTTTGTGGTTTTATACTACCTGATAAGTTTCTTTTCTGGTTTAGCAAGGCAACCCTGTGGACTGCACCATGAGAGCTCAGTACTTTTATTTGTCAGGTGTCAGGCTAGAGGCTTGTTCTAACTCGGTTTCAGGGACTCATGGGAAAAAAGAGAAGGCCTGTGGCTCATGTCCCACGAACCTGAGGTTAAAAGATGATGCAGGACTGAGAGAGGGCAAACCTGCCAGGAAATCTCTATATGTGAAGCACAAGCAACATACCCAAGGAAGCTCTTCTTTGAACTGATGGCTGCTTACTTCACAAAATGCAGGATGATAACCTGATGTTAGTCAACACTGAGATTCATGACCTTATTCAGCTACATCACCCAAACTGTCACAAATATCACAGCACACAAAACCTCCACTGACAGAACAGTAAGCTGAGCATAAGGCACAGGGGCGGAAACAAAGCTCATTTCTCCCCCATGGCAGGGGACATGTCTGCTGAGGGACCAGCAACGTCACCTGAGGGATCGCTTGTGTATAATTATTGCTTAATTTATTTGCTTAGAAAAATTCTACTTTTGCTAGCATTATCAAAAATTAAAGTGATCCATCTCTTTAAGTAAGATATTAAACAGAAATAAATTTGACAAAGAGCCTCAGTAACACATTTTGAGTCAGTTATACCAACTACAGTTATTATTTTAGAGAAATTATTACCAGTGTAGATGTTTAGGGACGCATTGCTGGTAATGGTTAAAGCAATATAAATCCCATACAAATACATTCACTTCATTGTATAGTATCACAATATTATGCTGTCAACTCTGTGACAGGAAAGATGACTGCACGAGAACATAAGACAAACACAGAAGAATATGTCAGATGCTGACAGTGGTTATTTCACTGTGACAGAATGATTGTAGTTGTGATTTTATTTCTTGTCCCATCTGTGGATGCTCTCTATGTTGAACATACTATTTCTAAAAGAGAGCAAACTCAGTTTATGTTTTGAATGGATTTGATTTGGGTAGTAACTGGGTGACTTAATGTTCTGATCTATATTCTTTTCTGTCCTTTATGGAGTTCTTCCAGTTTGCCCTCAGAACAGGGGTGCAGGGTGTAAAGAGGGGTTGAGAGAAAGGAGAAGGGTTAAGTGGACAAGGTACTAGGGAAGGAGGTGTGCTGGCAAAATTGCCCCAAGGGTGTAGCAGTGCTGTCGACTTCACTTTGTACTCTGTGTTTTGCAGATAGAGGTCACTACTGGACACTGATATTCTAAAAGTGCTTTTTTTAATGTTTTGTGACAGGGACTGCACCTTTCAACTTTTAAACCCACATATAGCAACAATGAAAGACGATGTTTTATACCATTTCAGCCTCAACACCAGTACACATGATTTCCCAGCTATGTTTGGAGATGTGAAGGTAAAAAACAAGGCATTCTAGGAATTGACATTCAATAGAAATAAACTTTGTTTCACATGGTTGAGAGGTGACAGGTGACAAGCTTATAAAGTTTATCAACAAACATTTTGCAAATTGTTGCTTTTGAAGTGTATAAGCTAGTGAGGGAAATAACTACCTATACTGGTTACTAATTAATCCACTGTGTATTTAGTATGTAATTGAAATTATGAATTTCCTAATGCTTCATTGATAGAGTAGAAAATGACATAGAGCATATTCTAAGGCAGCCAGAGATGTAAGAGTAATTGCGTGGTGTCTCTTTTTTGTAATTTAGTGTGTGTACTGATAGACTCTGTCAATTGTCTTTAATGTCTTAATTTGTTAAATCTTTCTTCAAGTCCATATTTCCTACAAGGTCACAAGTTTCTCAGTTCTGATTTATCCTGACGGAAGACTCTTAGACTTTCTAATTCCTGGAAGTTATTATTTAATGGATATTTTAGTTTTTAGTTAGGGTGAGGAAAATGTTTTGGAACTAGATCTTACTGATGGTTATATAGATATTTTTATATTAGCATATATATGTAAATCAATAATAGTATTTATTTAAATTGGTTAAATAGATTTTTGTAAGTAATTTGTCACTGAATTATACATTAAAAATTGTTAGAATGATAGTTTGTGTTATATATTTTAACCCTCATCCCTAATTCCTTTTCCCCCCCAAGTCTAATCCTTGTGGGCAAAAATAACCTTTACTGTTAAAACCAGACTGAACCAGGCACACTAGAGTCCATTGCTGTTACTTGGAATTGCCTTTAGATAACAGCCTGCCTCATATGCTGCTATCAGTGTGGAACAAGTGTACATGCATGTGCTGTTAATTCATTAATTCTGCATTTAGCTCAGCCAGTTAAGCCTGCAATTATTATTGTCATTATTCTTTCTTACTGTTACTTATACTTAGCTGTCAAATGCCTGACAAGTGAGGTAGGAGTTATACCTCCACTGTGTAGATAGATTGTGGGGTCTGGTTGCACGGCTAGTATGTGATGGGACTGACTGCAGTGCCATTCTTTCACCTCACTCAAACCAGAACCTTTCTAGCTCACCATGCCGTTTCTCCCAGTGGTGGAAGGCGGCTGAGAGCACATGGTGGCTGGGTTTATTAAAGAGTACTAGAGCCTGATCTCATGGCATTTCATATAGCAGAATGCTAACAAGCAGAATTTTCAAGCCCGAGTGCATCGGAATCACAGGCTAGGCCCATGAAGTGTGGCTGGGGACCTTGCATTTCTAGCAAGTTTCTGGATGGTGCTAATGTTGCTTGTAGTACTAGCAAGTTCCAAGGTAGGCTGTGCCTGTGCTGATGGTGTCTCTGTCTGGCAGTTTGTGTGTGTCGGTGGTAGCCCCTCCCGCATGAAAGCCTTCACCAGCTATGTGGCTCAGGAGCTGGGTCTCGAGCGACCAGGCATGGACCTTGTCAACATCTGTGCTGGAACAGACCGCTATGCCATGTACAAAGTCGGCCCAGTGCTTTCTGTCAGTGTGAGTATCCTGTAGTCCCACTCATGGCTTGGCTGAAGTTTTGAGTTTTTTAGGTTCCTTTATACACACACACACCCCCATCTTCAACACCTATTCATTTTATGAGGCCAGTAGCAGGGTGACCTACTTCCAACAAGCCACCCATTGATGCCCTCGTGGAGCATGGTTCTGTTCTGACATGCTTGGGATTACTGTGAGTTGGAGTCAACTCCAGTGGTTTAAAATAAGGGTATGCACAAAGTCAGGATCCAGTGTAATGCCTCCATCTCTTGCTTTAGCACGGCATGGGCATCCCTTCTATTGCAATCATGCTGCATGAGCTCATCAAGCTGCTGTATCACGCTAGGTGCTCCAATGTCACTGTCATCCGCATCGGCACTTCTGGTGGCATAGGTAAGTTCTTTCTCATTCCCATTGGGGCCTTGCCTGGAGATGGGTAGCTCCAGGAAGAGTGGACCCTCCCTTTAGCACTCCCGTGTGTGCTGTGGAATTGAAAACAAAAGGGTTTATTTGTTGGCTTATTTTCAGAAAACTTACCAAAAGGAGGCATGAAAAAGAAAAATATTACTCTCATTTTAATTCTAAAACAAAATTAGAATTTTAATTCTAAAAGGAAATTAGAATATTTTCATTGTTGTTGTTGTTGTTATTATGTGCCATCGAGTCGCTTGCGACTCATAGCAACCCTATGTTGTTCTGTTGTACATAGATTTTTCAGAGGCCTGCTATTTCAGAAGTGGATAGCCAATCCTTCTTCCTAGTCTGTCTTAATGTGAATATTCAGATTTAGAGAAGCATCAGACAGACCAGCAAGTTAAAGGTATATCCCTTATTGTGGAGTTAACCATTAGTGTCAGTGTTGTCCCTGCCTTTGGCACATGTGTCTTTACTCACTTATTTCCCTGCTCCACCCTCCACCAGGATACCCATCCACTTCTACCCACTCCCTTCACATCTATCTCCCATTGACCAGCCCTTGATCTAATAGCTTATATCTGAAGCTTCCTTGGCTTCCGTGATTCCAAACACATCAGCTGCTCGTAGTTCCTTATGTTGGGACCAATGTCTCTGAAGTTTAGTCGTAATGTTTCCCGAGCAAAGGTGATGCATCCATTAGTTTCATAATTTTACTAGTTTTATGAAATTTCCAAGTTTTATGAAAATATTAGTTGTTTTTTTATGAAATTTTACACAGAAAATGATGTTTCCATTTAACAATTTTTGTACATATTATTAAGTGACTCTGATTACATTTTCCCCATTATGTGAGTATTCCATTCTGGTTCAGTTCCATTCTGGTTGTTCCAGCTTCATTATTCGAGCTGCCTTGCCCTTTCTGTCTTTTTTATGTTTGTTTTAGGTAAATGTTGACCAATTCCTTTGGTCTCATAGATTTGTTTGGTTTTGTTGTCATTAAAGGAAAACAGTACTCACAGGTGATTATTAAAAATTTTTTTTATTGATCTAATCTGTTCCATAGTTATCGGAGGAGTAACTTCTTAAAGTGGTTTTATTTTAAACATTAAGGAGTATCTTAAGACATTTGCCTCAGGGCATCCTTTAGTACCAATTAGTCGAATAATTCTCACCTTTCTCTTTCTCTTTTTAAGAATGTCAGTTTTGTTCTGTGTTTTTCTGCCTTCTCCCCAGGACTATCCTTAGTGTCTCTGGTCAGGACCATCAGGAATAGTAATGAGCACCACTGAATTCAGGTCTAAGTATTGATCAGGCAGTTTGTCCTGTACACTAATTTCTTCCTCACATATTTCTTTACCTTTCCATGAGACTGGTGGTGGTAAGGAAATTAGCTGCTAAGGCAAAAGTTTGCAGTTCAATCTGCCACTTGCTCCAAGGGAGAAAGAGGAACAGTCTCCTCCCCTATGAGATATGTTGCCTCTGAAAATCCACTGGAGGTTCAGCTATGGGTTGGTTCTGACTCAGTGATACTCAACAAAACAACATGGTACTAAACCTTCAGACTCAATAAACCAGTCCCACAAATTATTTAGTTATATCTGTGAAATATCAGTGACTCTGCCCATATGTGCTTTATTATGAATGTAAATACATGTGTAGCATGCACAGACACATGCTTGGTGCCTGCAGATACACCTATACAAGCACATTTCTATGCTTTCAGACTTTCCTATACAAATATTCATCCAAATATACCTATATAACCACTCATAGGTACTTTTTGGGTGTTGCTGCTGCAAAATTGTATATGTTATAGCATTTATTAGTATATTATTTGCTTTGGTCAAGATCTACAAACTTTACTCACATTCAGTATCATGTTTCCCATCATCAAAACCAACAAGTGTTTTCTGTCCTGTGCTTGCCACATCACACTTGGGATCCTTGGTGTACCCTGTGGTTTCTAAGCCACCACTAATGCCTCCCAGCCCTGCCAACCACTCAGAAGCCTGCTCTGCAGCCCATGGCTGCAGTATGAGGGCAAGAACACTCACAATGCTGACTGCAGCCTCAGGGAGGAGGACCACTCCAAGACACCCCTGTGTGACATGCAGCAGCTCTGACAGCCAAACGAGCACTCTACATGATCCTCATAGGAAGAGACACAGGGCAGGTATGCCTGAAAGGTCTCTGCACCTGAGACACTGGTAGTAGCCAGTAGGGATTCCTAAAGGGCTGATGAAGACTAACTTGAAAACAGCAGCAGAGGCCAGGAGAGGCTTTTGTACACCACAATTTAAGGTTGGCGGCATAAGACACACATCATATTCTGGAGACTTTTAATATTCTTCACCAAACTGGCTAGTTGTCTAGTTGATTGTGACTCAGTGGTCACCCCACATGTGCAAGAGTAGAGCTGTGTACCCTGTGGTTTCCAGGGGTTGATGTTTTGGAAGTAGATCACCAGGGCTTTTATAGGAGGTACGCCAGAGTGGACTCTGTCTGACCTTCTAGTTAGCAGTGATGGTTTTAAGTGTTTGCCCCACTGCTCAGAGAGAATTTGAACATTGTTTATCACATGAGTTCATGAAAGCAATCAGCTAACACTCTTCCCAGGCAAACCTCAGACCTGGACTAACTGCTGAGAGTAGACAACATCGAGCAGAACAGGGACTAGTGAGCAAATTAAGGGGAATAGAACAGCTGGAATGGAACACATGACCACAATTTTAAAAACTTGGCCGTGGTTTTAATGTTTCATGAAACAGCTGACAAAGTACTTCCAGAAAAGCTCTCCTGACCTGTTCATTATCGAATGTTTAGGAAAACCAATTTCTTACTAATTAGTATCAGGGAAGGATCAGAGTCAAATCTCATACAAAGTTATTGTAAGGAAAATGAACAAAATAATGCCCCACAAACAGAAACATTCTTCAGAATGGCATGCCCAACAAAAAGATGCAAACCAGTACCTACTATATAAATCTGGGGAACTCCAAGACAGACAAGTGTGAGTAGTAGCTGTTTTTTATTTTCTTTATGTATTACTCTTCCATAGTTTTCGCTATTTTTTAAATGGGGAGAAAGGATCCTTAAACATATCCTTGTTTGATTTATGCTGAATTGTTTACAGCATTTTAGTTTGCATATAAATCCTTTTCCTTCTTCCTGCTCCTGCTGTGGCCCTGACTCCACTCTGAGAGCCACGATACCTGCCTCTTCCAGGTCTGGAGCCTGGCTCTGTGGTCATCACCCAACAAGCAGTGGATGCCTGCTTCAAGCCCGAATTTGAACTGATTGTGCTGGGGAAGCGGGTCGTTCGGAGCACATGCCTTGATAACCAGCTAGCACAGGAGTTGATGCAGTGTTCCAAAGAGCTGGATGAGTTTCCTGTATTCATGGGGAACACCATGTGCACCTTAGACTTCTATGAAGGTGAGCTAGATGGAACTTTCCAGGGCTTCTCCATCAGTCTTCCTCACTGTGAATTGAGTTACGTTCCTGCCTTGGTGTTTCCACGACTTTGTGCTTCTTTCTTGATGGTGGTAACATGATGATGGTTGGTTGTCACAGCTTCCACACAAGTGGCCAGGAACTGACAGGGCCTCTTCTGCCTGTATCCTCTGTGGCCTGAGGTAGGTGCTCAGGTCACAAGTACTGTGTCTTTGTGTGTGCTGTAGGCCAAGGCCGCCTCGACGGTGCTCTGTGCACGTACACGGAAAAGGAGAAGCAGGAGTACTTGAGGGCTGCCTATGCTGCCGGCATTCGGAACATTGAGATGGAATCCTCTGTCTTTGCTGCCATGTGTGGTGCTTGTGGCCTCCGAGGTAAGCCAGCATATTTTTAACCTTGGAGCTTCATCCTCTTTGTCCGGGCTGCTTACAGTCTGGGTGTTTTTCACTAGTGTAGTGGTCAGGGCCCCACTTCTTTAGCTCCCATACCTGCTTCCTGGCTTCTCCCTACCCAAGCCCTCAGGTTGTAAGAGCCTGGATCCTATGTTTAAGAAATTGACTACAGAGAAAGGATCTCTCCAGGACAGTCTCCTCGTGTTTGTGTAAACCTTGCAAGCAGGCCTTGATTCCACAGTGATCTCAGTGCAGCATGTATCTTCCTCTCTTCTTTTTGTCCTTGTTGCTTTGTGCCTAAACTGCTGCTTTTGTATCTTAAAAGCAAACAGATTTACATCACACTCTACACTAATAGGATCACTTTAACCAGGCAAGGAAGTATCTGTTTCCAAATGGAATTGTGTACACAGACAGGAGTTAGGATTACAATACATAATTTTGGGGACACCAAAATGTAACACCATACTTCTGAAAGAGGCAGCTTTACCATATGTGTGTTCAAACATTGTGGTTGTTGTGAAATTGTAAAAAAGCAAGATTTCTATCACCACTACATAGGGAACTGGAAAGATTGCAGAGGGAACTGTGTCATCTCAGCCAGAACTTCCTTCCAAGTGAGATGACCAGCCCTGCAAGAAGCTTGCCTTTCAAATGACTTCTGATTTTGAAATTGTGGTTTGTTATACCACTAAGTCCCTGTCTCATAAACTTAGAGCCAAAATTGACCTTTTTTGAATTAGAGAAAGCTGCCCTAAACTGGTCCTGGAATATCCTTGGTAATTTCATTTGTAAGTAAGGTCATGGGTAAAAAAGACAAGGCAACATGATGTAAGAGGAAGAGACTTCAAAATGCCTTTCTTCACTTGTGTGTCTCCCAATATTTTGTTTGCCTGTTATTGTCTACCAGAACATTCTCAATGGCTGAATTGTCTGCCTGCTTCCTGAGGGGTAGATGGGAGCTTGTCTGCCTGCTTCCTGAGGGGTAGATGGGAGCTAGTCTACAGTGTCAGCTGGTTTGTGGCTCCCACTCAGTAAGCTCAGATTGAAGAACGCATACCCCTGACCCATTGTGGCTTTTCTTTCCTGGTGCAGCAGCCGTCGTGTGTGTCACCCTTCTCAACCGATTGCATGGAGACCAGATTGACAGCCCGCATTGGGTACTAGTGGAATATCAGCAACGACCCCAGAAGCTGGTGGGCTACTTCATAAAGAAATGCCTCCAGAAAGCCTGAGACCCTTGCCTGCCCAATGCTGTGAAGACAGTCTGGTGGAAATAAAGAATTGTCCAGAATCTCCTTTTGTATGACATTGAACACATTTTGGGCACAAGAATTTAATTATGTTTCAGAGGCAAAGAGCTGTGTTTTCAACTACATTAGCTTGAGCTGGATTTCCTTAAGAATGTTCTTGAATAATTAAAACACTCCTAGGGAAAATTTTTAGACTTTTAAATTCTTCAGCTTGTCATAGTTAATGTCATAAAATAAGATATCTGACAATGGTGTGGGAAATGGTATTTCCTAAGAACCTATTTTAAAATTTCTATTTATTGTTGATAACCAAAATTGCAGATATTAGAGATTTGAAAGGAAATGCAGTTTTTAAATAGGTATATGTAGTTTACAAATGACCATGACTAAATTTCTGGGTATTTCTGCATCACTCCTATATAGTTATCTGATCGTTCTCCAAACTTCTAGTGTTAACCTGGGCTTCTTCCAAGTCCTTATAGGCTAGTTAAGAGGCCAAACACTGAGTTGGCCCCATCTTGCTGGTCTCCAGTTCGTTTCTGGCTCCCAGAAACCCTGTAGGCTGTACTTCCCAGTTTCCAAGCCCTTGCTTCCAATTGAGGTTAGCCCTGCCTGGGAGAATCTAGGTGTTTCTGTTCTTAATCTTGGTAATGTTACTGGTACAGATATGTCTTTGTGAAGAGACACAGTTAACTCTAGCCCGGGATGGTGAGTTTCACTGGCTCCTAAGTAGCCCCATTTGACTTCTCAGCTCTTCTGCTTCCATGTGACCAATGTTTAGTATGTCTTTGAAATGCTCCAAATGTGATTTGTTTATTGATTTTGTGTTTACATATGCAGCCAAACCACTTAGACGCCCTGACAGTTTGAGACATAATATTGAGCATTTGGAAACTAAGTGCAGTCAAACAAGAACAGATGTGGAATTTGTTGTAACAAAGTAATCTGCCACCTTGACATGAGTTTGGCAGAAATTCAGAAGAAAGCGCATGAGGGAAACGGCTGATAAAAAGGGTGTGCATGGACAAGAACTTTTGATGTGAGGAAGCTGGAGCTAGAAGTAGGGCTTTCTCTATGAGTGGTTAGAGACATACTTAACTTTCTAATTGTTCTTAATTTGGAAGCAGAGACAGAAAAGTTAGGAACTGTTATTAGTCTAGAACTGGGCCTTTTACAGGTTTTTGTCTGGCTTCCTAGACTGGTAACTGCAGCTGAGACTGGTTTTTGCAGGTTGTGGGTGAGATTCTATTTTTAACTTAGCCTGGCTGTCATCCATATGTATATTTGGTTTCTCAGGGTGGGGAGGAATGGGTCATTGGGGTTTCTATAAATGATGGGAAAAGTGCAAGCCTGTGCATTTTCAGGGACCTGGCAGTCTAGTGGGTAAGGAATTGTGCTGCTCACTTTAAAGCAATTACTGCAAATTCATCAGCTACTCCATGGGAGAAAGATGGACAATTTCCTCCAGTGTGATTTATAGCCTCTGAAATATCACTGGAGGGTTACCTATGACTCAGTTCTGACAATGAGTGCCAAGAATTAGTGGTATTCAGAAAGCTCCTACCCTATAATTAGGAAGCTCTAGTGTCCTCGTGGTAAGAAGCTGTGCTGCCAAAGGCATTGAAGGACCCCCGAACCGCTGGTCCTGTTCTGTCCCGAGTGGACGGCGAAGACCCAAGACTCCAAGACACCGGCTTGATGCAACAGCAAGAGATAAGAGGTTTATTGCGGAGCTCCGGGCCGACCCTTATCTCTCGCAGGAGACAGAGGAGCCGACCTCGAGCAGACAAAGTTGGGTTTTTTTATACACTTTAGGGGGATACAACTGAGTATCAGCTTCTCATTGGGTGATGAAAGCACAATTTGAATTCATTGGTTCAGTGTTCGCTCAGGGTTTACACAGCATTTTTGCACGTAGCACTTGCGGCAGTCACGTAGCACATGTAGCAGTTAGATAGATCTTTAACTATATGGTGGTGTCACAAATTCTTAAGTATACAATGAGTTCAAACTCTAGGGCAGTGGAAAAGCACAAGATACATTGGTTATCAGTCGGGAAACAAAGGCACATGGGTTATCAGTTGAGAAACAATCTTTGCTTGTTTGCTCTGCCCTTCTGCCAGCTATTCTTGAAATACTCTTGCCCTGGATACCTGGGTGTGGGGCTTTAAAAATTAACTTAGCTGAGAACTATAGAAACTTGAGTTTAATTCAGCTGAGAACTATAGGGACTATTTTAATTTCAATCTTTTCAGCATCAAATCCACCAACTGTTCCATGGGAGGGAGATGGGCAGTCCCTACCTCATGCCTGTGTGGTGGGATGGGGACCACAGTCATCTTGGGGGACATTTTTAGTAAGGCAGAAAAAAAAGCACAAATTATATCATGTTATTTATTAAGTAGGATTTACTAGACACGGATGTTGTCATTTAGCACAAGATGGTTTCTCCTGCCCATGTTTCACCCAACAGTGCCTAAAAGTCTACCTCTGGGGGAGCAATGGTTAACCACCACCACACTAGACAAGGTGAAAAAACTTACTGATGAGATTTTATTTCTAAAGACTGCAGAGCACTAAAGCACTGTCCAGGGTTGGTGGGAACTGCACTGGCAACTGTTGGCAGAGTGAGGAAGGGCAAGTCCTTTAGCTCACAGAGTGCCCAATTTGTCAGTTCATTGGGCAGTATCACCTACTGCCAGGATTTTGTGGCTTGGCCAAGTAACAAGTGAGTTGGCCTGACAAGTTGACTGGCTCTTGCTCTGACAGGATCACCATAATGATTTACTCATAAGTGCCACATCTGAGGAGTCCTAGGTGGTACAAATGCTTTTCATGCTGGAGGTGGGCATCCAATCAGAGGCACCTTGGGAGAATGAATTGGTGATCTCCACCCTAAACACAAGTCCCGAGGACTCCATAGATGATCTTACTCTTGGAAACAAGTCCTGGGGACCCAGTGGACAAGATCTGATCCTTGAACATGAGTCCTGAGAACCCAGTGGACAGTGTGGACAATCAGATCCCTGAACCCAAGCCCTGAAGACCCCGTGGAGCACACGTCTATTAGGGCACATGTAGTTAGCCAAGGGTTTGAGTTGATGGTAATTTTTCTAAATGAACTTGGCTTAGTGTCCTTGCCTTGTCCTCCTTGGAGCTTGGAAATGCAAATATTCTTAAGCATGTTACTTGAATCTTTTAAGATACTACTGAAAACCTGTCTGCAGCCCTCATGCCTGCTGGCCACTTTACAACTTTCTGGCCAATCCATGTTGTGTGCCCTCGGTCTGCTGCCCCTCCCTCCATTTGGCACTGAAACTAACGACCCTTGGGACAGAATAATGATTTGAGATATAGTTCATGTTGTGTTTCCAGTAACACAAGGAGAATTAGAAAATATTGGATTTGTTCTGATGTAACTAATTATTCTGGATTTCTAAAACATGTCAGCTGCTTCACTACAATTTGTAAGTTTTAGAGCATCTCAGTGCTGTTAAAATTAAACTCCTCTATGGCCTTTAGTAAGAAGTTGCGCTGCAGTCGCAAAAGCACACAGTTTAAATCCACCAGCTGCTCTGTGGGAGAAAGATGGGTAATCTCCTATGCGATTTACTGCCTCCAAAAACCTGATGGAGGGTCAGCTATGGGTTGATACACAACAACGATATAACAACAATCATTGTTAATCCTTTCATAAATTGGGAAATGAGAAAGTAATGAGTTATTAAATTTTTTGTTTAAGTAACTCATTTTCTAGTAACATTTCTCATGTAGAATTCTTCAGGAGCAGTTTGCCTCTTCCTGTTGACCTACCAGGGCCAGTTGTCTTCTCTGAAGCTACTTTGTCCAATCCCTTGGCCAATTCCAGAACCAAGGATTATACTGCCTCTGACCAGAAACAAACAAACAAAAGAAGATGAACTTAACATCCCTCAACCTGAGTTAACTTTATAAGACTCCTTTCTGACCCTAACAGGGCCCAGTTGGAACAGTTCTCATCCACATTTTCCAGTAGCCTCAAGAGATAATCTCCTGTTACTGGTACACCCTATTACTTAACCCCCTTTGAAGGTCTTCACTGCTATGACTAACAGATAAGACCAGCTAAGATAAGACCTTGCTACCAGCAAGACAGAAAGCACTGCCTCATAAGGAAGTTGTGTACTGTCAGTCAGAACTAACCCGTAGCTGATCCTCTGGCACAGCTTCTTGTCAGTAGGCCACCAGTGCTTTTCTAATGCAAAGCTGCTGGATAGGTTCAAACCTTTCCAGTAAGCAGCTGAGTGCTTTAAGTCACCATGCCACTAGGTTTTTTCAAAGACCTCTCGCTCTTGCTCTGTGGTAAATTTGAATCATTCTGGCAAGCCACCCAGTTTCTGAGGCTGTTGATCTTTGTGGGAGGGAGGACACTGCACATCTTCAGAGCCCTGTTGGAAACTGTGGTTAGCAGTCCAACACAGTACTACGAGGGCTCCTTTCAGGAACTAGAAAACATTGACAAACCCGTTCTATCCTTCCTACTGTTGGGATGGTCTTTGCTTTCCAAAACTCTTCCCTGACTTAAAAAAAAACACAAAACAACACACCAAAAACAAACCAGGGAAAAAAAAAAAAAACACCAAAAAAACCCAAAAAAACACAAAACACCCCAAACAACAACAAAAAAAAACCAGAAAGAATTACTTTGTGGATAAACTCATCCTTATTTCTTAAATGTTGTCTGGTGCAATTTTTTATTTGACAATGTTTTGTTTTAACAAATGACAAAAAGGATGATAAAATACTTTAGGGATTAAGTACATTTCTCATACCGTCCTCACTCTATTATTTACATATGTTCAAAAGTAAAGCATTCAGAACCAAGGATCCAGTGATTTTACCCTTGCTCTTGGCCCAAACCGGCACACTCAAGAATGTATACAGCAACCATATCCTCAACAACCAAGTCTGGAGCCCCTCAGTGCCTAACTATAAAAGCCTGA